CACACGTCATACACACGGGTACTTAAATACATGAGAAGAAAAACTTTTCAGTTCAGCACATGACGTCATAATTTGCGTGTAGTTGAGTAACGATAAATTCTAAATAAATATGTCAAAATGAGAGATAGGGTAAGAGAGAGAGAGAGAGAGAGAGAGAGAGAAAAAGAAGATAAAAGTTCACCAATATGACGTAACAGTCGGGGAACAAATCAGCTAATATACTTGAACGACGATTGAAATTCCGCTTTTACAACCGACAGGTGACGATAAATACTATATAAATAAATATATGAAATGAAGAGTGAGTTAGTTGATAAAAGACTTTTTTTCTGATTAAAACAACTGCAGAACACAATTTAATGTGATCATGCATACCAGGCCATTGTGGCATCACATATGAAGGCAGTTCTAGCGGCAAAACTGGCTACGTACAACGGCGTCCCATAACAGTTCTTCCAAATGACTTTTCCTCGGTCGTGAAAAGGAAAAAATGACAAAATGAGAGGGAAAACACCAACGACACCAACCAAGGGGAATAAAACACACTGTACGAATCTGGAGCTCATCTTCGAGAAAGAACAGACGTGAGGAAGTGGTCCTAACAAACTCAGAATAGGGCACACACGTCACAGACACGGGTACTTAATGGCACAGAGCTCTCCACTAGCGTGTGTGAATGCTGTGAAGAGCTGCTGTCGGTGGGGCACGTTCTGGTGGACGGCCCCATTTATGTGCATTTTAGAGATTTACATAGATTAGCCAGTAATATGATCAATGATCTAGCCAGGTGTCCGGATGAAATGTTTCCGTTCCTTAAAACCTACACCCAAAAATTTAACACAGATTTTACGCCCGATAAAATATGTAACCTCAGTACAAAAGTAATCCAAAAACTAGCCTTCTTCTGATTTGATTAATCTTAATTACTTTGCCTTTTAGATCGACTAGAGTTAAGGAATAATAATAATAATGTGTTGGTTAAAGCTAGGCAATGAATTAAGGCAAAATAGCCCAGATGGTTTTAGGGATAAAAAACGTAATAAACAATAAATACCAATAATAATTAAATATCACCAATATGACCTCAAACTCAGGGAGTGTTTGAAGCTATTACAAAACTATGTGAGCACAAATGAAATTTCTCTTTTACAATTGTACTAATAACAGGAGCTACGATATTAATAAATAAATGAGAGATAGAGGTAAAGATTGCGGTTCACCAAATATGACATCATAATCGGGTAGTAATTGAACTATTAATAAACTAAGAGGCACAATTGAACTTTCTATTCTACGAAATAAACAATTGGCGATAAACGCAAATAAATAAATATAATAAAAGACGAGTGAGAATAAAAAAGAAATTTGGCGTTTCACCAATATGACGTCATTATTGGGGAGTAAATGAACTATTAAACTTGAACGACGAGTTAAAATTTCGCTTTTTCAAACAGACCGATGTCGAAATCTGTGTTGTTACTTTGTCGTACTATGCTTTTTATATATTGTTGTTCTTGTAAGTTAATGTTGTTTGTTTTGTCTGTTTCTCCTCAGGCTCCGATGTCGACCAGGTCCCTCTCCGAGTACCTCGACGCGCACAACACGTACGTGATTCAGCTGCACAGGACTACCGCCATGGTCGACACCGGACTGCCGGAGCAATTGTAATTGTAAACATTACAAGTAAACGGCTATAATTAATTATAAGAAAAAAAATTCCCCGCTGCATTATAAACGGAACGTGTGTTTCTTAGTGACCTGTTGTTCCATAATTTGCTGAGCTCGTGAGGAGTGGTCAAGAATGAGATAATTTAGAAAAACACCTTTTTCATTTTTTTTCCGACGATTCGACCTTTAGTGGGGTGCTATTCTTGTCATGTCATATTGGTCTTGTATGAAAGTGTGTATTCTGCTGTTTTTATAAGATTGTGACAAGGTGGGGTCGCGGTAAATCTGAGAATATTTCTTTGATCATAGATGGTTTTATTTAACTCAAAGGAGTCGAGAATGGGGATTTTCTGGATTGGATTTGTGATTCGGCATTTTTGATGTATTGATAAGGAATATATTAATATTGATAAGGACGTTAATTATTAAGGAGGATAACGTGGAAAGGGGAAATTAAAATTAAGGCTTAATAGTTTATATGCTTATGATGTTGGCGTTGCATGGCTGATTTAGCATGTATCTGTCTTGGAATTAATGCTGTTAATGCAAACCATTGTTATTTATTATGAGTATTTTTTTAACGTTGAATTGAAGGCAAGGAATCAAAAAAAGCAAGATAGCCCTGGTCGTTTAGCCTTAAACAAAAATGGATTTCTTTTCCTGGATTTATCCAATAACCAGAAAGAGCCAACACTTTCGCAATACTCGCGTGTCCTGCTGGTTTAGCCTGTATTTTATTTTCATTTTTGACAAAGCCCTTTATACAAAAACCGTCGGAAAAAAATACAATGATCTTGATTTCGTCGGAAATATTTGTCCGAGAGCTTTTTGGAACTTTTTCAAAAGGTGGGCCCCCCGGAAGTCGATACTACCGTTGTTCCGGTGTTGGGATGGTGAGTGCTCCGAGGTTGAAATTTATTATTTATCCGCCTCCCACGCCTGTGCGTATATTCGTAGGGGCGGGCAAAGTTCGCCCCGCGGACAAACTTACATCGTCGGATCGATAAAAGCTCATAAAAATGCAAAAATCGTTAAGCCACTTCCTCTTTCTTCGCTAGTTTTCTCACTCTCCCTTTTTCTCTCTCTATTTTCAATCCTGTAGGCTATTCTTAAAGAACGTACAAGACAAAACGGGCCAATTTCCGTCAATCCCGAAAAACGATTTTTTCACCGTTGCCAACGCGTAACGCGCTGCGCCAGGTGCCGTCCCTCTCCAACGGATGAAACGGGACGGATTTTTTTCCCCACCCTCTAGAAATAATCGTCTATTTCGAGATAAAAGGAGTCCACCGCTAATTGAATTCGTTGTACGGGGGGTAGCACTTCCGAGCCGCGAGCCCTAAGGGCCAATTATCAAAGGCGCGCGGTTCTCCTTTTCAGAGGGATTCTAGGAGAATTTCCCTACCGCGGGGTTCTTCAAAATGAGCTACCAACCCCCGGCTTAACGATCTACTTGGAACAAACATAGACACAATATAAAAAAAAACACGACATGCTATCCAAAAAGACCACATCAAAGCGAAAGGAACAAAAGAAAATTCACAAAGAATCCAATGAAGATTTAAAAAAAAACACGTGGAAATATTTTTTTTCTCCTTTTAACCTGAATAAAGACAATAAATAAACATAACCGAACACATAAACTGACACGTCATGAAAGATTATTCCATATGCATAAACTGTAATTAACATATACATAAACATGATTCATTCGTTTAGTAGGGCGATTTAGCAAAACTCCCCAGACGCTTACACGATACGCGGACGAATAAGCACGCAAAGTGTGAAGACCCTCGAGTATTCATTTTGCAGATTCCCGACACAATAAAACTTACTAAAGTTTTTTTAAACATAATTAAACCCGATAGTCATTGTTTACTGGGAAAAACAATAGTACAGTATTAAACATTGATAAACACGGTTCACCAATTTGGCAATAGTGACGTCACACAAACTGAAATCTAAAGCTTATCACATTGATGACGTCATCCTCGGAAAAGTGGAAACCAATGTACTAACAGAAACATTATATGATGTATAAATATTTTATGTTTTAAGTAACTCGGAACGTAACCAATTAAATATGAACCGATTTATTAAAAAACTTATCTTTAAGAATTTAAATATTATTGTTTTACGACCAGATAACTTTGTTTTTCAATTTCCTCGAGATATATTTTGTCATATTTTTATTTTTAATATTTTCGTTAATATAAATCGGAAATTATCATTTTAAACTGGAAACGCTATTTAGGGTTTAAAAAAAGGTTTGAAAGGATTTTATCACTGAAGTCGGTTCACCGATTTCCTATTAGGATGTCATCAAAAATTTAAGCCGATTGAATGAAGTCTACTCTGTTCGACGTCAACAGAGTGAAGTTTAATTGAAAAAGTAATAAATAATTAATTCATTTAAAAAACACGACATATAATCCAAAATGACCACATCAAAGGGAAGAAACAAAAGAAAATGAAGATTTTTTTAAAAATTGAAACGTTATTTTTTTCTCCTTTTACCCTGAATAAAGTCATAACTGAACACAAAAAACTGACACGTCTTGAAAGATATAGTCATGCATAAACTGTAATTAACATATACATAAACATGATTCAAATTATAAATCGGACATGATCATTATAAACTGGAAACGCAATTTAGTGTCTTAAAAAAGGGTTCGAAAGAATTTTGTCACCAAACTCGGTTCACCGATTTCCCATTAGGACGTCATCAAAAATTTAAGCCGATTGAATAAAGTCTACACTGTTCGACGTCAACATTGGAATTGTAATTGGAAAAGTAATAAATAATTCAAGTCAATAAGGCATGCTTCTCATTTTGTGTATTTAATATTTTTATATATTTCAGTTTTAAATTAATTTACTGATTCCTCAGGAGTTTTGCTCAATTGCACGATTGATTACTAACTATTTAATTTTGGGAAGTTTGGTTTTCGAATTTACCGTAATGACGTCATCGATTGGCATATGAAAGATTTTGGTGGGGGAAGGGGGATTATTAGAAACCACTCACAGACAAAACACTTGTCAAGCGTTGACGGATTGTTCGATCCTCCCACAAACTTCCGCCTCCGGATCGGCTTTTCACATAAAATTCAATATCGCCTAACACGCGCTCAGTGGGGTTGGGGAAAGAGGAGGGATGATTGAATTTTAAATAGAAACCGAGAGGCACGTAAGTATTGAAAAGCAATATGTCAAAGGGTAGAGTGTCGTTATATACAGGGGACGTGATCCGGGTGCGTAAAATGAGAGAGGGTGGATCCATTAAAATTGGCGTTGGTGAAATTTACAGAAAAATTTTGTCTACTTACGGTTTTTAACCACGGCCAGTGACGTGGTAATGTGATTCTTGACGTTGGACCAAACGGCCGGATGGGCCATCCCTTTTAGGCTCTCCATCGTCCTCGTATAGCCGCCGTAACGACCGGCGTCTGAGGGGGAAAAGAAATCAATTACACAAAGAGCAACATTATATCTGTAAACAATTAATTGTATGTAATATTTTATTTTCAAGACAACTATTTTGTAACTATTCTGATCAAACGTGAAAGGGTAAATGACAACCTAACTTGGTTCACCGGTTTCCTAAAGAAACGTCATCTGAGAGGGCAAACGGCCGTCATCAGTGATGTCACCCAAGGGGAAAACGATTATGGAATTGATTAGTTCATTATAAGAATTTTAGTTGAGTAAAAGCTTAGCTTATGTTTAAATGTGAAAAATGTTAAACGTTACAGGATTAACTCCTAAAGTGAGGTCATACTTGAAAAATTCGATTGGGAAAATATTTTAATCGTCTTCCACGCACCAAAATGTCGAAAGTGAACATTATTAACAGTTTGCCAAACCTGGTTCGTCATGTAATGACGTCACCCTAAATGGAAATTGATGAGCACTCTTTATTGAAGTGACATCATTTTTAGAAAAGGCAATTGGCCGGATATTTTAATCTTATCCACGCACACAATTGAAGTCACAGGTAAACAACTTGAACCGTATGTCAAACTTGTTTCAGTTTCCTATAACCTCTCACCAAACTGTAATTCATTAATACTTCACAAAAGTGACGACATTTTTGGAAAAGTTGACTGGACAAATATTATAAATCTTGTCCATACACCATAGTTGAAGTCGTATGTGGAGAGAGAGAATGAACAGCTTGTCAAACCTGGTTCACGATTTTCCTATCGTTATAGCTACAATTTTTCGTCATTACGTCACCCTAAATTTAAATAGATTTACGCTCTTTACGAAGTGACGTCATTTCTGGACAAATCAATTGGCCAAATACTTCAGTCGTATCCACGAACAGTTTGTCACGCTCGGTTTACGAATTTCCTATAATGATGTGAACCAAAAATGATTTTCATTAATTCACATCACTGGTCATTTTTTGAAAACTCAAATGGCCAAACATTTTAAATGTGATTCCAAATTACATTTTCTCAAATTTGATTCACCGATTTCTTACCATGACGTCATCCAAGATAAGATCTTATTTTTAGTGTTTGAAGTGACGTCATTACATGGGAGTTCATTGTAATATTCTATTCTGTTATATTGGAGTTATTTTACTTGTATCGATCATATAACCAAAACTTATACACAATGGATCTTACGAGTTAAAAAAAAAAAAAAAAAAAAAAAAAAAAAAAAAAAAAAAAAAAAAAAGTTAGTAAATACAATAATATAGAAACATTTACGTGGTACTTAAAATGAACAAAAGGATCATGATTGTCTTCCTTGAAGAGTTAATATTAACTTAACGTATTAGAAGGATAAACATTTCGGATTAGACAGAAGGGCTTAACAAACATACTTTATCCCTTTTTCTCTTTAAAACCGGCTTGTAAATATAATCCGTTTGGTCAACTTACAGTACGATGTCAAATTATGCGTGCTACTGCTAGGGAGAGTGTACTGTATGACCTCTTGGGCCGGGTAAATGATATACATGTCCAGTCAACATTGTGATCCAGATAGGACGTCCACCCTTCCTCTTGTCCTCTGTGCCGGCCCTGGAAAAAAAATACAAAAATAATAAAATAGTTTACGGTTTGATTCGATTATAAAAGTGTGATTGATGACTAAGCCAATTACTCTCCAACGCGCGTCGGCAAAGGAGGATGAATTTAGAAATCCGGCTTCTATTTTCGTACCGTGCACTCGACCTCGGGCGTGTCAACGTTGACGCCGTTGAGTAGGTTTTTGTCACAATTAAAATTACCCACCGGGGCCGACCGGAGGGCGGGTCGGATTTGATTCCTTGGCCACTGGCAGCCATTCATTATCCCATTGCTCAGTGCTAATCATGCGAGGGAAAGAAAATTTCGCCCTACTCAATTCCATCGCCGACCGGTGAAATCGTCATGAAAGTGCTCTACGGTGAAATAACACCAATAAACATCAGGTGCCTTGGAAAGAGGAGAGTAATAAAACGACAAAGTACAGAAATTCAACCCAATTGACTAGAGGCCAACACCTCCACATCCTCAATTTATAATCTACTTTTGACTTTTTAAAACACCCTTACCACCCCACGCCTCAATCTGCTTTATTGACAATACTAGCCTTTTATTCAAGCTCTACGTTAATTGGTTTAGATTTTGAAGTAAAGCGTTTTATTTCAATAAAAAAAACGTTTAATTGCGGTTTTTCGATTTTTCAGATTTTTAGAAAAACGATTTTTTACTATTTTTTTCTTCAACAGTGGTTAGTCAGAAAGTTAGTAAATTGATCAGTTTATTATAATTATTTTACTTGTAATTATTTTGTTTAATTAACTTAAATCAATTATTTATTCTTTTTATGTTAGGTCTTGGTTTAGATGGAAAAGTCAGTGCCACGAGCGGGATTCGAACCCACAACCTTCGGCTAAATAGGGTCATGGGTTCGAATCCCGCTCGTAACACTTTTTCATCTTAACCAATACCTTACATAAAAAGAATAATTAATTGAAATAAGTAATTTGGTCAATTAGACCAGTAAAACATAAATGGATTAATAGTTAACTTAAATCACCAATTAACGTAGGCCGACCGAAAGCGTCATAAGTGACGTCATCGAAGAATGTTAGCATATTTATTAAATTAATCCATATTTGCTTAGTGGTCGTAATTAACCACATAAATTATTTCAACTAATTATTATTTTTATCAAGGTTTTGGGTTGAGATGAAAAATTAGTGTCACGAGCGGGATTCGTTAGCATATTTATTAGTTCATTATAACTGGTTCACCGATGGTTCCTAAATATGGCGCCATCTGAAATAAATCTGATTTGTTCAAATTGAACGTTAAAAGCTTGAAGTCAAAAATTGACCTGGCGATGTTCAATTGGAACGCAATACTTTTTCTGCGGTGTGAAATGGGATGATCTAGGACAATGGATTAACGATGCACCTGGCCGTCGATTTAACAAAAACAATGAATAAATCACACCTTGGCGTTTGGCAGGATTGGATTACCGAGGAGTGGTGTATATTTGGACGAAAGGCATGACCCCCTTTTTTTCCACTTCTTTACAATTACCCGAGACAACATTAAGCGAAATGATTAGCGAAAATTGACCTAATACCAAATTAAACGGGGGGGAATTGTGTGACGTCAGCACAGGGGGAATTTAGTCATGATTTGCCTTAGAATCGCTTAACGGGAAATTGATATTATTCTGAACCGAGACGAGGAAATTAATATAATGTCGAATAAGAAATAAATTCACTAAATAATAAAAATAAATCTGTACATTTAGTGAGGAAACACGCGAACACCCAGGCAGACACGTAAAATAGAATAAATATAATAACGTGTTGCAAATTGACTTTAAGCCTTTAATTTTTAAACAGTAGAAGAATTGCAAATAATTGTTGTTTAAAAGATTTACTATAAAGTTTAATTTAATTAAAATTAAATCAATTTGTAAAAAACTCTACCAGATATTTTTTTTTAAATCTAAATTTTAATGTCATTTTCTTGTCACAACATTTGAATTCTTTTTACGCTTATTTAAAGTGTAAAGTAATATGAAATATATGGTCCCAACCATGAATAGTTTCTCGATTTGGTTCAATGATGTTATACCAAACGGAAATGGAATTAAACTCACTTCGAAAGAGACAGCAATGTTGAGAAAGTCGACTGACTGGATATGTTTAATCGTATCTTAATCGTACCAAAATAGACGTAGTTATCGCTGGACGATTTGAGCAGTTTGGCAAAATTAGTTCCCAAAAAATGACGTCACCACAAACTGAAATTGATTAACAACTATACTGAAATGACGTCATTTTTGGAAAAATCAGCTGGCAAAATATTTTCAGTTCCACACGCAACGATTTAATTCGTAAGAGGACAATTTGAACAGTTAGTCAAACCTAGTCCCCAAAATTTCTTACAACGACATCACCACAAACTGAAATTGATTAACACACTGTACTGATATAACGTCCTTTTTGGAAAAGTCAGCTGGCAAAATATTTTCAGTTTCCACACACAAGGATTTAATTCGTAAGAGGACAATTTGAACAGTTAGCCAAACCTAGTTTGCAAATTTTTTACTATGTCGTCACCAAAAACTGAAATTGATTAACACACTATACTGAAATGACGTCATTTTTGGAAAAATCAGCTGGCAAAATATTTTCAGTTCCACACACAACGATTTAATTCGTAAGAGGACAATTTGAACAGTTAGCCAAACCTAGTCCGAAAATTTCTTTCACTGACGTCACCACAAACTGAAATTGATTAACACACTATACTGAACTGACGTCATTTTTGGAAAAGTCAGCTGGCAAAATATTTTAACCATTTCCACACAACGATTTAATTCGTAAGGGGACAATTTGAACAGTTAAACCAAACCTAATTCGCAAATTTCTTACAATGACATGAAAAACTGAAATTGATTAACACACTATACTGAACTGACGTCATTTTTGAAAAAGTCTTCTGAATTCTTAAGAAAAAGTCTTAATCGTATCCAGCGCACCTCAATTGAAATTCGTAGATGGTCAATTTGGGCAGTTTTTCAAACCTGCTTCGAAGATTTGTTACCATGGAACTTGGTACTTTGGATTGGTTTAAAAATCAATTCTGAAGTGACGTCATTGTTGGGACAGTCGAATGACCGGATATATTAATCGTTTCCACACACAAAATTTGACTTCATACGTGGACACACACACTTTGACAAATCCTGCTTCACAAATTTCGTAAAATCAAATCACCCCAACTGAAATTCATTAACGCGGAGTGACGTCATTTTTGGAAAAGTCAACTGGCCAGATATTGTAAACTTTGGTTCGGTTCAAATTAATCAAATAAACAAGGTTCAAAAATTTCTTAAAAACGAAATTTCATGGAAGGACTAAGATGAGCGACGTCCTACCAGGGGAACGTAATTGGTTCATTTTCATTTTTTTGGTCTGTTAATTAAAGGCGAAAAACGAACAAAATGCGCTCTTTTTTATACCTGTCGGTTCAATTGAACCAAACCGTCGTGAATAGTTTGAAGAGCTGATTCGAGGTTTATTTAACTGCAGTCATCTTTCAGGAGGGGATCGGATTTCCCGAGAGATTTTCTCGCCTATGGGGTGGGTGGGAACCGAAGGTTAATTGGGCCTTAAAACCTTTTGAGGGGCTTTTTATCGAATAAGGTCCCTTTTACCCCTTGATAAGCACCAGCGACTGTGTTATTCAATTTGTACGACATTTGTGTCCTAAAAAATAAAAAAACCTATATAGGTGGAATTCCTTTAAGTCCCCTTGTTTCCAGTTTGCATTTTCACCCTTGCGACATCTCGGGTACCAAACGGCGACGTCTCCGAGGCCCCTATTGTTGATTTATTCATGGGAAACCTGCCCCCGGCTCCACCTTTGTCATGTCACGTCTGAAATCCGGAAAAGGGCTGTCCCTTAACGCTTGGGAGACGGAGGAGAGAGATACTGAGCCCTTTGCGGAAACCTGGTCTTATCTCCGGCCCGATTGGTAAACGCATGAGAGAATCTCGATTTCGGGACGAGGAGATGTCTCCCTTGTCCCACTATCGGTCCCTTTGACCGGCCGCCCTTTGTTCCGTCCGATTTACAAAGCTAAAACGGCGTGATTGTGATAACGTTGAATTCATTCTCGACGAAACTGGGGGCGAAACGGTTAAGAAGAAAACAGAGTTCTAATTGAAAAGAAAACACCATCGAAGAAAATAATTATTGACCCAAGTTATCAGCGACCGCCACAGTCGAAATGTCAACAGCCTTTTCATCAAATTGGAACAATGGCATTCACAAGATTCCATCTGGCAGCCGACCATCAGATCAAATAACAAAGACCCGATAAAAGTGAAATACGTTAAATAAACAATTTCCATTCAATAGTTTTAACCTTTCACTATCTTTGTTTCTTATTTTTAATTATTGATCATTGATCTGTGTTGGTCATGAATGAAATGACATTATTTACACAGTTAAAATATACTGATGGTCAGTTGTAATCTGTTTCTTAATATCTGTGTTCATAATGTGTAACTCAGCACAAATTCATCACTCTCTGCTCTCTCTCTCTCTCTCTCTCTCTCTCTCTCTCTCTCTCTCTCTCTCTCTCTCTCTCTCNCTCTCTCTCTCTCTCTTAGATTTTTATTTGGTTAGCTTATTAGTTTATTGCTATCAGACTGTTTGTAAAATTGAAAATTAAACGTTTGGTTTTTACTCCTCAATTACAAAGTCACAGGGATATTTTAAGCCTTTTCTTTACCTTTTTTTATCTTCAGTTATTTATTTTTGATCTCTGTTGATCGATGAGTGAAATATCATTTTCTTAGTTTGAATCCGTTAAAGTTCAGTTGTAGGTTGTTTCTTATTATCTGTGTTCTTGGTGTAAAAGAGATTATTCTTCACTTTCTCACCTTTTTTTTCTTTATTTGTTATCAATCGCCTTCTTTCGTTATACAAACGCGAATGTTCGCGTGTTTTTGAAGTTAAATAAACTCTCGCCAATAATATATATATTATGCAGGGTGGGC